CCCACCGATGAAGCCTCGCCGCGTGTACCCCACTGGTTGCCTTGTTTGGCGAGTGAAGCAGCGGGAACAGAGAGCGAGAGCGTCCGGGGCCATGCCAGGGCGCAGAATTAACAACGGTGAGGCCATAGCTAATTCAGGTTGCACTTAGTCGGCAGCCTGAGCCAACAAAGACCTCGCCATCCGCACGGGGATGTGTTCTGTCCGAGTTGAAGTCGTCGTTAAAGAATCCCTGGTTTGGCTTTTTGATGAGTTAGATGAGTCAGCATTCATGTGACCTAGTTTATTGCTCTGATGAATTCTAAATAGTTATCAAATCAACAAGATGCGCGCGAGAAAACTCCCGTTTAGGACCACAAATCCATTTGGCCATTGCTTCTATAGTTGGGAACAGTAATTGCTCCAACGACTTTGCTCTGTGTTAAGAGCCGCGGAGCTACCGATCACGGTTTGATGTGTATTTGCGGCGCCCGACATAACAAGAACGTTTACAGCGACCAGGAGAGCTTCCAAACCAACAGACGGCTCGAACGGCAGCCATGGGATCTCTCCAACAAATTCTTGAAATCCTCCAAACCAATCTGCTCAATCCATTACAGCCGTACCTTAGACCTATCACCTCCTCTCTCCCCGAACCTGTCGATGATGCTCTACTCTCCCTCCTCGGCGAACACTGCCATTCAACCCTCATTCGTTCCCTGGACCTCACCACAGACCCAGCATGTCTACCTCTAGCGGTTTCCAAAACCCTAGGCGTGGCAATTGTCACCTTTAGTGCAATAGTCAAAGTTCCACAGATCCTGAAACTTCTCTCCTCACGCTCCTCTGCTGGTGTATCGTTTACGTCCTACGCGCTCGAGACTACAAGCCTTCTTATTACCCTCGCGTACAATGCGCGTCAGAAGTTCCCTTTCAGCACTTATGGCGAGTCCGCACTAATTGCCGCACAAGATATTGTGGTTGGCATCCTAGTGCTCTTGTTTTCTGGCCAGACAGCGGCGGCCGGTGCGTTTGTTACGGCCGCTGCGAGCATTGTTTATGCTCTCATGTTCAGCGGTGAAACGTTTGTGGATCAGGCGACAATGGCGTATTTGCAAGCTGGCGCGGGAATCCTGGGCATCGCAAGTAAAGTGCCGCAGATTCTGACGGTGTGGCAGGAAGGGGGTACAGGACAGTTGAGCGCGTTTGCGGTACGTGAATCATACCCTTCTTACCACCACCTTCCATGGGTTGAGTGTTCCACTCTTTCACGTCAATCACACGATTAACATTATATATTTGTTTCCAGGTCTTCAATTACCTCCTCGGTTCCATGATGCGCATCTTCACCACCATCCAGGAGGTTGACGACAAGCTGCTCCTATACGGCTTCGTAGCTGGATTTGGCCTTAATCTGGTCTTAGGCTTACAGATGCTGTACTACTGGAACGGACCAGCTACCGCTCCAGTGAATAAACCGGCAGGCAAGGGGCACCAGCGGATGGCAGAAGTCCAGATCCCGGTTGCAAAAGGCTCCGGCGTCTCTTCCAGCTCTTCTGGAAAGGCCCCAACAACGAGACGGAGGGGGTAAATTCGTTTTGTTATGAGATTCTTTCCTGTGTTCAACTTCCGAGTGTATCTCATCTTGCATGCTACGCTTCCTTCTATTCTAGTCATTACATACTAGTGAAAATTGCACCATAATTCTCTATAGTTTTACTATCAAATGAGTTAAATAAAACAGCTTACTGGAATTTTTTCCCCTTCGAACGAAACCAATTTCTGGGTAAAATGATATTATACATCGTAGGTAACAAACGTCAAGAATCTACCAGATATAATTTTCGATGCCTAGAGTCTAACGTTCGATACACCAAAATTTCCATGTCCATCATTACGCCAGAGTCAAAATAGCTTGAAGACTACTCCCTTACTCATTTGTTGTAGCCACTATATCAACGACCTTTCGGGACAGCTCCCGTCATCATGAATCTAAACACATCCTCCGACGGTAGTGCCGGCGACATGGACGTAGACTGCACATATCCTCCCTCCTTCGAAATATCACACTGCACCCCACCAGCTCCCGGACTCCCACGCACTCCCACAACCCCCATCCCGTTCCCACCCCTATCCCCTCCCTCTTCCCCTTCCGAACTCTGCTCTTCGTCTCCACTCCCGCTCTCACTCCCACTATCTTCCTCGTTTAGCTTTCTTTTTAGTCCCGTCACGATATTCTTAACCCCTATCTCCTTTTCCTCTAACGTATAATCCCCGCCCCAATTCCGCCCCCTAGCCTCCATGTTCGCTTCGATGGGGCCCCATCGCCACAGCTCTAACAGCTGCTGGTGTGTCAGCCCCGTTCTAAGTCTAGTGGCATCCGGGTTGCCCATAGACAGGCCCTGGGAGACCCAATCCTCGACACGCGGCTCCAGTTTGGTGCGCAGCAGTTGCGAGAGCATGGCGGCTTCGGTGCGGCCGGGGAATTGAGGGGTTGGGTACGCGACTAGCGATGAGAGGAGGTCATGGTGGTCTGTAAGTTGTTGAGAGACATTGAGGAGGTTGTTGGAGATGATGGTGGCCTGGGATTGGAGGGAAGACCTGGTTAAAATGGAAGAAGGACTTGTTAGCTCTTCCAAAGAAAAATATAATTGGATAACTGGCTGGCGCGCATTGCTCACCAGGATGGGAGGGGGTCGCTTTGGTTTATGTTGTTGATGAGCGATGCGAGCGATTGAGTTAATTGGACTAGGCGTTGGCGGGTTTGTTCGAGTACCTTTAGCTGTTCGGGAGATATGGAGGCCATGGTCAAGATGGCTCACTCTTTATTTTCTCGAGGGTTTGTTTTCGTTTTGCTGGCAGCTCTGCGCACGGATGGAGAGAATAGTTTGAA